AGAGGCAAGGCGTGCCGGGCCTGAGGACTAGCCGTGTGACTTCGCTTAACCTGTTTGGCCTCAGTTTCCTTATCTGTGCAACAGGACTCATAGTATCTGGCCAGTAGCATCATAGGATATTGATGAGAGTTCACTGATGAATTGCTCAGTGATGAATGAATTACCACATTCAAAGCAGCCCCCTGGGTGAGAGGATAGTAAATGGAGGTTATGTTGTTCAAGGCGGGGTGGGCAGGGAAGGCCTCTCTCGGGGGACGGCGGAGGTGCGGTCATTGAACAGAGACCTGACCGTCTGAGGGAGAGGACCACGCGGCCCTCTGCGCTCTTCGCATCACCCTAACGTTGCAGCCGGGACATGTCTGTGAGCTTCCTAGCAGGTTAGACTGACGCTGCTCTCTTGAGCCCTGGGATGTTATTCCCAGGCTGATAGTCCGACGTGATGCTGGTTGTCTGGCCAACAAGGCTGGGGTGCGCATCCTTTAGAATGAGCCTTGGGGAGGAACGGAAACTGAGTCAAGGTCAGGGAGGAGTACAAGGTGCCCGAGGGATGGGCATGACCAGATTCCAGCCTTGCAATCCAGAACCGCCTGCCCCTTCCGAGGCCAGGACCGGCCCCTGTGCTCATCTGCAAGACCTGGGCACCCGCCGCCCCCGCCCCCGCCCTGCCTTGTTCAGGGTTGATCCTAGCCCTGTGAGCCACTGCCAAGGTGGCTCAGAAAAGAAGGCCTGGACTACAAGGTCTGGATTCGGGCTTGATCCTGGGTTTTGTCTTGTTCTGTTGTTTGGCAAGGACAGGGGTCGGCTCTGGGCCTCTGAGGAACGGCTTGAGTACCTGGTGCGGGGACAAAGGAAGAAGCTCTGGGAGAAGAGGCAGAATCCCAGGCTGTGCCACAATCCCAACCTGGGGGAGCGCAGACAAGCACCTCACCTCTCAGGGTCTTGATTTCCTCATGCTCAGCCTTTAGGAACTGCCCAGGCCATTTGCTCTTCAGTCCTTCCTTATCCACAGAAATAGTAACAGGAGCAAAATACGATTGTGAATCCAAACATATTAATTACCAAGACTGATGAAGGGGATAAGACCTCGACATCACAGCCTCCCACTGCATGCCTCCCACCAGGACACACGCACACACTGACACACACACACACCCCTCACCCCCCCACCCCCCACCCTGAGAGACTCTGAGGGCCCTTCCAGGATTTTGTGTTCCGTGTTTCCAGGTCACATCCATATGGCACAGAGTCCTTCCAAAGTATCGGTCACTCACTGAGATTTGACCAGTTTTGACTCGCAAAATGGCCATTTCATATTTCCATCCGATAGCTTCATTTGCGGCCATGGTGAGGGCTGCCCACTGGGGAACCCGTGGCCCGGGTTCAGCTCCTCAGCTTACTCCCTGTGTGACGTCGGACAGAACGCTCACCTCCCTGCCCTCCCCTGCACGGGGAGTGAACGGAGGATTCTCCCTCGTGAGGCTGGCTCCTGGGAGGGCTGAACGAGCCGGCGCCTTGGAGTTGGGCAGGGCAGCGCTAACTCGGTGACCGGCACGAAGCGCAGCGCCCTCCGGGGACGCCCTACCCAGAAAGCCCTAATGACGGCCCATGAGCCAGACTCGGGGAGTAGCTTCCCAGTCTCCTCCCTGCCAAGCCCGGAGGGGAGAATGTGGCCAGAGCGCATGGGAGCCACAGCCCCAACAGGGCTTCCCCCTCAGTCACCCCGTCCAGCCTGACCTGCCAAGCCACCCTCTTCCTTCTTGTGAGGGGCGTCACTGGGCCGTAGGCAAGTCTTGACCTGGGCACGGGAATGGTGCTGGAATCCTGTGAGTGACGTGCATCCCCCTGCCTTATCTGGGCAAAGCATTAGAGGCTCCCTCCCCAGATACCTCCACGGAGCCTTCCCCATTAAGTGGTACATCATGGAATGTGTCAGCCTGAATTAGCAGGCAGGCCCGTCATGTTAAGCGGAAGCTCTGAGCTGGCAGTTCCCACTTTGTAATGCCTCCTGATCCCGGCTGTCATGCTCCCTTCCCTGTCACCAGAGGCTTGGTAGCCTCTGCAGACAACGCACCGTAAGGCACCAGGGCCATGACAGCGTGTAGGAGGAGCCCCGGGAGGTCCTCACCAATGCCGTTCCTTCTGTGGCCCTGGGGAGGCTGCGTGGAGCTTGGCGAGCTCTAAGGGCAGAGGAAGTGGGTAGCGCTCAAAAGCTCCAGGTGGGGAGCTCCTTTATGACAAACTTTAAAAGCATGGCTTGTGTTTCTGAAAGCACACAAAATAGACACCTTATTCAAATCTCATGAACATCTCAGCGAGGTCTCTAGGGACAGCTCAGCCACCGAACTCTGCGACCACCGCTGCCATCGGTAGCATCGACAGGGACCGATGTGTCACTTACGGAGTTTGTCACTCCCTGCCGTGTAGGGTAGTTGAGTGTGGTGCGATACAGAGGAAAGAGCGCCAGCTCTGCAGTTGGGTAGACTCTGGGGTCCCACCGCTGGGCCACCCTGGGCCAGTGACTTCAGCTCTGTGAGCCTGAGTTTTCTCTTTGCAGCGGTACTTTGTACTTACTAGTAGCTATTTCACAGAGTCATTGAGAGGATTACCTGCGATGAGGTGTAAAGAAAGCGATGAGACATAGTAAAAGCCCAATAAATACTTGCAGGGACAATTCCTAAGGGCAAAGTCACTTTTTCTTTTATCCATTACAGAGCCTTAATTCAGGACATACCCTCATTGGTGTTAGATAGTGTATAACCTTCTTCAAAATTTTACCTCCTTCATCCTCTGCTTGTTCTCCACTGAACATCAGGAAGGATCTGATGAAGAATTTGAACGTACTCATATCACTGGAAATATTTTAAATTCCTTTCCATTTCTCGTAGGGTAAAGGCAAAAGCCTTCCTCGGGGCTTGCCTCTTACCTACCCTGTTACATAACCTCCACCATGATTCCCATTGCTTTGTCTCATACACTGACCTATGGGCCCTTTATTCTTGCTTTACTCAACCCCACCGCAGCACCCTTGCACATGCGCCGTTCTATGACTGGAACATTCTTCTCTCTCCTGTCCTAGTAAACCCCTTCCCATCCTTCACAGTCATCTAATTCATGCTTCCTCAGCAAAACCCCTGCAGACCACCGTGACCATGCTAAATCCCCCTTTGCACTGTAGACTCTCCTTTCGGGCACGTACTGCATTTTATTATGAATCGTTCTGTGTCCACCTCCTCCATCTAGACCAGTTCTCTGAAGGCAGGAACTGTGCCTGGTTGTGCTCACCACTTAAACCCATCCGGACCCAGTACAGAGCTCAGTAAATATTGCTGAAAGGGTGATTGGGAGGGTACACCAGAGGGCAATTATAATTCATGGTAAGAATGAGTTATATCACGAAAGGAATTATTACTCGTGATAATGAGGGCACAGTGGGGTTTGTCGCTAGTATAACCAGAGCCCAGAGGGACAGGTTAATTGCTCAGAGTCACATGGCCACAGGTGAGTGGAGAACACGTGATCAGAGCCCAGGTCTCCCAGTTCTGGCCATTCCCGGGATTATGCTAGAGAACCATTACCCAAATCTGCGCTGTGGGGCTCATGAGTCTTTTCATCCCCTCCCTCTTCTGGTATTTAGAGGACACCTGGCTCCCCCGATGTCCGCCCCTCAGGGTGCTTCTGGTTTCCAGGTGATCCAGGACCACATCTCTACAGAATGCCACAATTCTTTTGAATTGTTTATTTGATCACTCAAAAGTGAGCTAAGCTCCTTCAGGACTGAGCTGGAGGATTCTGTGTTGTGAAAGCGTGCAGAGGGCACCACACCTACAGATTTCAACCTTGTTTCACCTTCCGGCCCGCACCCCCTGGGGTGAAACGGGTCCACAAGTAGCAGTCTTAATCGGCCACCGGCATCAAATTACTTAGGGCCCAGTTGCAAGTGCTGAGTTTCTTGAGAGGGAAACACTTTCAGTCCTTTTATTTACTTGTTTTTGTTGAAGAACCACACCCGCGTTTCCTGTCCGTCCAGTTTTTAGCCTGTCCCCACTCAGGCAGAGAGTTCACACTCACTTTCTTAGCGGCCAGTTCACCCCCATGCAGCCAGAAGTGCCCTTCGATTCAAAGAGGCAGGCAGACGAGCGATGGGCCTTGGGTCACTTTTGCCAGGAAGAGCTTTGTGTGTGAGAAACTATTTCACTGGCTGATTCACTGACCTGTGGGGAAGAAAACATTTACTCCTATTCCTACTCACTCATTCAACAAATAATTACCAAGTACCATATGTATGTGTGTGCATGTGTGTGTGTGTGTGTGTGTGTGTAAAGTGTGATGACCATATAATTTACAGTACAGTATAGGTGCGAAAGCATAGATGTAAAAGTGGACATGACCAGGTACTCCAAGACAGTAAGGATAAACCAGTATTCTCCCACATGTAACAGGTGGCAGTAGGTACCTTATATGTCAGTGGCTGGATGTGGAGTATTAGAATCTTGGGCAATGATGTGTTTTCCCACAATGCCCTAAGGATTGAAGACCCAGGATGGGATCTAGACCTCCAAAGCCATGAAGGATCAATTTAAATCTAAACTGAACTACGCATTTCTAAAATTTTCCCTTAACTTCCTTTTTAAAACAGTTTTCATGTTAAAAAACAATCTGGAACAACAGTTCTAGATGCCAGGGACCTCCTCCCCCAAACACATACAGATTATAAGACCCTCTGAGAGGAGGCTACCTAGAGGGTCGTAGGAAAAAAGCTTAGAATCGGTAAAGAATGAAATTGTCAAGGTTAAGTGATGGTAACATTTTTTGAGAAAAGAATAAAACTAAAAAGCACAGAAGGGAATAGGAAGAGCGTGATTTATTTCTCTTTCTCTTAGACAGAGAGCTCCTTTGTTGTGGTCCTGATTTTATGTGTGAAAGGCAAGGACATAAACGTGCACACTCTTTTCCCGGCGCACAGCTTTGGTCCTAAAGGATGTGTTTCTCTTGCATCCCAGGTGCCCGTCCTCAGACCCATGGACCTTATGGTGGAGGCCACCCCGCGAAGAGTATTTGCCAACGCGCACACGTATCACATCAACTCCATATCAGTCAACAGCGACTATGAAACCTACATGTCCGCTGATGACCTGAGGATTAACCTGTGGAACTTTGAAATAACCAATCAAAGTTTTAGTATCCTTTCCTTGGGGTCGGTAACCAATGGGCTTGAATCAGGAGTATTCAGGTAAGAGCAGGCTTGGGGGAAGGTGGAATGCAGGGGGTGGTCATAACTGAACACCTAGCCCCTGTGGAGAACTGTTGTCTTTTAAGTTACTTTGGCACCTACGGCACACTTTCATCCTGGCAAAGTTGGGGAGGTACTGAGTTACAAGCTGTGGGCCAGGATGAGCTCTGGGTTGAAACTGAATCAATTCCTTAAGGCAGAGGCATTTGCGTGTCTTCAATTAAAACTAGATGTGACCTTTATCTAGGGACTGTGAGACCCTAGAGTTCAGTTAAGGGTTTCTTCCCTTTATTAAAGGGTCCCTCAATGGCCTGCATAGACGGCATGGACCACGGGTACACATTACATGGTTTTTATTGTATCTTGATAGCAAAACTAATCCTGGCTGCCATTTATTGCGTCCTAAGCACTGTACTGGGAGCTTTCTGCATAGAATCTCATTTTGAGATGTACACATATCATAATTTTACATCTTTGTGAATTTTCACCAACAGAACACACGTGGGTAACCGGCATCTGGATCAAGGCACCAAACTTCATTTGTAGTCCTCAAGCCCGTGTTACTCCTCTCTTGTCTCCACCCACCAAAGGTGCATTTGATATGACAGCCCCATGATTTCAGTATTAGTATCTCATGTTTAGCTAAAATTCAGAGAAGGCAAGGAAATTGCTGACTGTCTGAGCCAGTATTTTTGCTGTACTACATTGACCCCTATTTAATGATACAGCTCAGACATTCAGTCTGTATGCATCACGTGGTCCGTCCCACCGCCAGCCTCCACGTGAAATCCCGACCTCGGTTCTTGGTTTCCCCACCCAGGCCACTGAGCAACTGACATAGAAGTCAACATTTTTTTTCCTCACTCACCAGGCTTCCCATCCCCAGCCCAGTCTACCCTGAGCCCTGCCTTTTCTTCCTCTAAAATATGTCTCAGGTCAAACTCAATCCGGTCTCCACTCCTGCCGATCCACAGGGCTGAAGGCCAGTTTTCTCACTTGTGAAGCTGCAATAATCTGGCTGGTCTTCCTGCTTTCTTGCTGTCTTACATATTACTTGTTCCCCTAACAGAGTGGACCTTTTGACACATAATTCAGATACCATTCCTCCCCTGTTTAAAACACTCGGGGAGCATCCCACTGAACACCGAGTAGTAGCCAGTTCTTCTCCTTGGACTGTCGGGGGGCCACCCAGTCTGGACCCTGGCTCCCGGTGACGTCCTGTCATGTCCCCGCTCATTCACTCGGCTGCAGCCCGCTAACCTCGTTGCCTGGATAAACTTGGTGCTCCTTTCATGCTTTGCATTTGCTGTTCCCTCTTTCTGGAACACTCTGCCCCCAGAGCTCACGTGGCCAACTACATGCCATCATTCAGACTTCAGTTTCATGTCACCTCCTCAGAGACACTTCTATGAACTTCCAAGTAGCTCCCAAATAACCTTCTATCCCTGTTGTTATCTTCATGGTACTTATCATTATTTGAAGTTGTTTCTCTATTTGTATATTTGGCATTCCCCCATATTTGAATGTAAATTCTGTGTGAAAAGGGACTTTGTATGATCCGTTCCTGTATCCCAGTGCCTAGAACATTCTGACATATAGGAAGTGCCATTTGAGGGGAACATGTCAAATTGGAAGGTACTAGCAGTCTTCCACGTGGGGATATCTGGTATATAGTTGATTGTGAAATCTAACCTGGAAATTTTACGTTAAGAGAATATTAGTTATAGTAAAGCTTTGAATGTTCTGATATAAAATAGACCCCATAGTGCCTCAAAGACATAATAGATTCTTTTGTTAAGGTCCAATATGGATCATCCCCATCAGCAAACTGACTCCTCCAAGTCAGAGATTCAGGTCCTTCCATCTTGTCCTCTTGTGTATCTGCATCAGGACGGTAAAGGAGGAAGATTGTGGTGGACCACACATGGGAGACTCCTATGAGCCAAGCTCTAAAATAGCATGCATGCCATGGGTAGAAGTCAGTCACATGGCTACCTCTAACTGCAAGGCAGGCTGGGAAATGTAGCTTAGCTATATGTGCATAAGTAAAAAAAAAAAAAAAAAAAAAAAAAGACCTGCGTTTGCCACACAGCTAGCTCCTCTGCACCACGGAAGAGTGCTTAGTAGCTCCGCAAGGCTTTTGGGGGAAGACGGTTTTAAGCAGGTAGATTATGGAGACACTGGAGACACATGAACTTCAGGACCGTGACTGGCAGCTTTTGTTGCTCACAGAGCCAACTGCACATACTGTTTGAGCCTGGAAGTATCTGCCCACAGTTTTTGCCTGAACGTGCAGCTGCTAATAGAATGACTGTGCGTCGTGGTTCCCTTTCTCCCTTTGCAACTAATCCAAGAGCCAGAAATCTGCTCAGGCTCTGCTGCTGTCGCTCAGAGCTGCTGCTGTCCCCAGTCTAGGTGACATGTTTTCTGAATTTTGCCTCTAGGCCTTCAAGGGGAAGGGAAGTTTCTTTAGGCATTTTGGGAGACAGATGCCTTGGGGAGAATGCAAAGGGGAAATATTAATAGCACAATTTAGATTATATTCTGCAGATGTCAGACAGTGTGCCAGATGCTAGCATACAAATGAGACTGTGCCATTCACCCTTAAAAAGCCATATGTAAAATAATCATTGTCATCATGAGAACAATGATAACTGATATCTATATAGTTATTTTCAACCAGACCACCATGAGCACTGAGCAGAGTTACACACTGGGACCTTTTTGCCTCTCCTCGCTGAAGTGTAGCCACTTCTGGGGTAGCAAGTGGCCATCTTTCAAAACAGCCTCAGAGAAACACCAACAACCAGACAGGTCTTACTAAATCCTATGTCATTTAGCGCCAGTTCTATAGCACCTCATCGTTCAGGAGAGAACAATGTGATGTTCCCAAAGCATGGCACGGGTGCCCCTGAGGTGGTAGGCAAGGTGCTAGGCACTAGGCGGACTTTTTTGTTCTCATAATCATGCATTTATGATAATACTATAAAATACAATTATCAATCCTATGATTTCACAGGCACTGAAAATTCACTTAAATTACGAAGAATTTTTATTTAAAGAAAATTACTAAGTGAATAGTAAGACAGGTGGTCTGGCGATATGATTTTTTAAGGCCATAACTTCCAGTGACTGGTGTTTGGTGTCACATTAGAATTATGGTTGAGAACACAGGCTTTGAGTCCAACAAGCTTGAGGTCCTCACCCAGCTCTGATACTTGCTGGCTGTGTAAACTTTAACATGTGTCTTAGCTTATTCAAGCCTCTATTTCATGACCTCTAGAACGGATGGTTATCAAACAGGATTGTGAGAATTTTTAAGTGCTTTTTAATATTGATTGATCAATTGTGTGTGTATGTGTACATATGCATATATGCATATATATGCTTAGGGCAATACTTTGCTCAGTAAATGATCAATAAACAGGGACCAACACAATCCTAATTATTATTGAGAGGACAGGGAAACTACAAAAGTCAAATGTTGGGATGGTAAATTCATTATGAGTCAACTTCTCAACTCTAGACTTCTCATTTGGTTCTGCAGTTGGGTACTCTTTGCAAGATGTTGCTCATTATACCAGATACTGGCAGATTCTCTGAGGTTCAGGGCCTTGTGTTTAGCGCCATATCAACATGAGGCATTCTAAGCCTCATGATACCTGGTCTTGAATTCTCTTCTTTCCATCCATAGCCAGCCTGTCCCTATATTGCACAACAGGTCCTGGTTTAAAGTGATCAACTTTGGCCTTACTTGGTTAACTACATCGGGACAATAACAACTCATTTCTAGATATGTGATTTTCTAGGACAACAAGCAGCCCTAACTTTTCAATACAGGAAAGTTGCTATAAAAAGATGTTGCTTCTGTATGAAAACTATGCTATACCTAGGATCCTTTGAACTCTCTTCTCAAGACTAAGACTGAGTTGACCTGGGCTCTTACCTAGTCCCATGTGGGACCTACTAAATATATACGTGTAAGTAAAAGTAAAGATACAACCCACAACAGCTGTATCCTGAGCACCTAATTTGTGGCAGGTACTGCACTAAGCTATAGGGATATGCAAGTGAAAAAAACAAACTGTGTAACATCCAATAATCACACTGAGTATATAATTACAAACTTAAGTCCAGGGAAGAAAGGGACTATGGTTCTATGAATGCATATTTGAAAACCTAATATAGACTAGGGAATAAAGCAAGGCTTTGCTGAGGAACTGATTACTGAGTTGAGATCTGAAAGAGGACAAGTGTGAGTTAACATGGAAAGAGGTGTGGAGAGATTGGTTCAGCATGTCCAAAGGTCTGGTGGCAGGAGGAAGCATGTTGTGTCGGAGGAGCTCAAAGCAGGCCACCATGACTGGAGGCTACAGAGTGAGGCGGAACATGGTGTAAGGCAGGCTGGAAGGGTCCGCAGAAGTCCAGCCTGTGGGCCTGAGGGAAGGTTCCTCTGGGAGAAGCTGACTGGAGCACTGGATCTCTGATCTTGGTGTTCACGTCCCGGTGCATCCGCTTTATTTGCCAACTGAGCCGAGGCCCTTTATGAATTGGTTCCCTTATCAAGGGGCTGTATAACCTCAACTTTTGGCTTTCAGCTCTGTGACTGTAGTACCGTGGACAGCAGCCTTTTACTCCAGCTGGAATCTGCCAGGCAGGCTTTTGGACGAAGCTGTAGGGCCCAGTACAAGTCTCTCTCCTTTGCGGCCGCTGTGCTTTGATCCGCAAATATACACATCAATCTCAGAGAAGCACTTAGCACAAAAGGAGAGCATTTCTTCCAGCGACATATCCAGCCTTGGCCTGCGTGTGCCAGGGGAGCTGCCCCCCGCCCCCATGTTCAGTGCAGTCTTGGTGGGTTTTCCCAGGCCCGGTGGCCTTGCTTATGTGGCTGCTGCTGCTCTGTATCAGAGGCCAAACCTAGGGCTCAGTGAGGCTGCAGATTTCT